ACGACAAACAAAAAAAAAAAGCCTCTCCACCAATAGACTCAAAATCAAAACTAAAAAAAACTAATTTAGATTTCCATTAGACGAAAAAAAGTTGAAACCATTTTCTGATAGATGTATCTACATAAAAAAACAACGAAGAAGAAAACTCCAACTATTTTTATTATTTTTCCCACAATTATTTTTGCATTCTTTTTCACTTAATAACAGTTTGTCAATCTTTTTTTTTTTCAACAAACTTTTATTTAGTAGTGTAGAAGGCGGAAACAATATTCTAGCGATAAAATAACTGCTTTTGAACTTTTATTCAAACTGAATGTTGAGTCTGTAGCACATCATTACTAACGAAGCCTAAGCAGCGCCTGTTAAAAGATCTACAAACATGTAAGAATTTATTAAGATTGAATTCATAAAAATTATTGTTACTAAACACTTTTTTATTTATTTACACCAACAACAAAGGTACAGAAAAAAAGGTTATCTACAATCTAAACGGTAATTCTTGGTCGTGGACCGCATTTACCTCTTTCCGGATTACCCAGGAGTTTATTGAACTGTATAATCAAATCGGCTGCTGGCATCCCTTCAGTTTTAAATATTATTCGACGTCCGTCTTCTGCAGCAAACAATTTTTAAAAAAAGCTTCATAAATTGATTCGACTTTACCTAATACTATAATACCATACCCAAGTCTGTAATGAAATATGGTGGTTTTCTATCGTTCCGAATTTCCGTTAACACTTTATAGTTTTTCGTCATTTTAACTCTTGGAGTACAAATAGAGTGCCAAAAATATCTGAAAATTACACCAGTGAAGCGCACGATATAAACTACTAAGTAGTTGAAATTGTTAAGAGGTGAAAGAAAGTTAACGGCCAATATGCAACTTTACACATTGACCTCTAACTTCCTTTTAAACTTCAAAATTTGTTTAGTAATCCAAATATGTGAGTAAACCTTAACGATCCACTGCCGGGACGAAATGGATCAAACGATAAAAAAATTGTCTTTACATCCTTCATATTCATTGCTCTAACAGCCAGAGCAAATCGTTCCTTGGGTCTCCACCTGACACCACTTCGTATCCTTTGCCACATCATATTGAACTCTCCAACTGCGAAGAAAAAGCAGGATAAAACTTCACAAAACGATACGAGTTAAGTGATAGAAAGACGTCGTAAAATCGCAAATATAACATTAAACTGTAAGCTTTTAACTACGTAAAAATGTTGGAAAATATCGCGCAACACAAATGTTACAACTCCAGTAAAGAAAACCATAACTAATAACACTTTATTTCACCGCAGAATACTACGCTGACGAGATTATGTAGCAGTGAAGCAACAATTGTTCAAATGGGAGAAAGAGAAGTAAAACAGCTGCAATCAACTATTTACATAATCGTCCTAAAATTTTTGTCAAGATGATGTAATAAACAACAGTTGTGGACAGTGCTTGTAATCATCAAAAAAAAAAAA